GCTTTGTAACGCATTTCAAACAAGCATGTTATGTTTGCTCCGAAAAGATTCACGAATTGTCACTAAAGAATATTATCCTTGATTCTGCAAAGTCGGAGGTGATAATTTTTACTGATACAAACAGCAATGAATTTCTGTTTTGTTCAACCTGATATTGCTCTTTTTTACGGAGACACGATTGAAGTACTGGAACTGTCAAATTTATCGAAATCAATTTCTACAATATATCAAAACCTATATTTTCAAAACCTCAATAAAAAATTGATAATATAAATCATTTAGAAACAATAATTAAACCTTTAAAAACAAAAACTTGATCTCATTAAACTGCCAGTTTTATTAATTTTAACTTCATTTTACTCTACCTGATTTATTCTATTTTATCTTACTATATTTAAAGTTTTTTTATTGAATAATAGTAATAATAAATTTTATAATAATAAAAACAATAATTTTAGTCACAGTTAGAAATATCGAATCGATTAATAATAATTTTAGCAATAAAATTTATGTAATTGGAATGAAAGTTATGATGACATTTGAAAACGCCTCATAAGGTCGGCAAATAGTTAATGATGACAATGATGTTAATAATAATGTTTTTTTATGAAAGCAGCCCTAAAATCTAAGTTGTCGACAATCCTGCTGAAGAGAACAACTTAAACAATAATTTTGTATTTAATATAATACCGGAATACACTTAAGATTTGAATACATTAAATCTAAAAAAATTTGGTTAAACCGGATCCATACTTTGTTAGAAAGTAGTTTTAACCAAAAACTAAAAATTTAATTGATTTCTATAAAATTTTCTAATCACGTCTTTCTAATTACTTTTTCAACGCAGCTGACTCAATCTCTAATCTCTTAGCACATGATACAACGTCGTGAGCTAAATTGAATCATTAAGCAGTCGATTTGGAGTGTTGTATAGACATAAAGGACTTTAGTGGCACGAAGGCCCTTTTATAACGGAAGTATAAAATAAAATAACATAAAATAATAAAAATAAAATAACTTGACAAAGCTCCATTGTAAAAATTAATAAAAAAAACAAGGCAAATGTTATTGATAAAAAAACGACCAATCAAACGAGGTAGCAATGCAATCTAAATCTGTCAACAACCTTATTAAAACTAAAATTTATCTAGTTGAATGAATCCATAGCTAAGTTTTCCTTCTTTTTAAAACAGTGTCAGAAGAAGAGAACTTGCAAAATTTACAAGTTAATTTGCTGTCTATAATAAAATTATCAATAAAGATGTTTAAGTGTTGAAAACGTCAAAGAAATTTCAATGTAATATGATGTTGTTTACTAAAACTTAACTTTTTCAGGGAATTTACTCAAATTTAATAATTAAATGTTTGTTATACGTTAAGAAAGTCAGATGTTACTATTAGACCCAAACTGAATAAAACAGAAAAAAAAGCATCTAACAATATTTAAAATTAACATAATAAACACAGATTATGGCAAAATTCCGTCGAAACTTACAAATTCTAATAGCATTAAATTTTGCTATTCATGTGCTTTCGAATAATGAATGCTTTAATCATCACTTTTTCGTAGTTATTGTAGTAATAGTTGTAGATAATTATTATCTTTAGATTTATTTTTTGATCGAAGACTAACAGTAAGTAAGGGGCGACAATATTTGGAGAGACTAAAACTTGAGTTAGACTCGAGATAGTTTATGAATTATTATTATAACAAATTTTAATTTTATTATTTGATGTGACTTAACCAGTTAGTTTTCGTGTTAATTAGATTAGTCTGGCGAAATATTAATATTAGGACATTTTTTGTTATTTATTGAAGTTTTTTTCTTTTCCTTATCAACTGTTTTTTTGTCAGTTTCTGACGTGGTAAAGTACTAATAATATGACATTAATTAATATTTAATTAAATCTTTTTTGTTTTTGGCTTTTTTTTAGTTATTAATTGTTGAGTCGGTTGTTGCTATTTAATGAAATAACCAAAATTTAAAAAATCCTTACAAACTTTTCCACAGCAAATAATATCAGGAAACGAAATATGTGAGATATGTCAGTGTCTACCTATTATATCATCAGAAAGTAAAAAGTAATTTTGCACATTTTGTATGATTTTTTACTCTGGTTTTAGTTTGTATATTTTTATCAGAGTGTCGGAGTTAGATAAAAAATATCCGGCTTCAGCCCCTCAGAAATTTCCGACTCCGGCTCCTGATTACGAATCCCGTTATCGACTTATAGAAAAATTTTCAACTTTTGCATCATAGTCTCAGCTTATCATCACTACTAAATAGAAAATATTTTGAAAAACACTTAAAATCAGCCAATGTAATTGTTTTTCTTAATAAAATTATTTTATTTTTATGTTTTAAAAAATGCTGAAAAAATTTGTGATTTTTATTGACATTATTAAACATGAAACTTGGTGCTGGAACGAGACGATGCAATAAGATGCTTTCAAACAATGGCAAAAGACGAAGACTGATGAAGATCGAAAGACATACCAATCAAAGAAGCGAAATGTCAGGTTGCGATAACTCGTGCAAATCACTGCAAGGTATGGCTGTCTGGGAGTAAAGGCGAACAAATTCGGTCACTCTACCGAATAGCAAATTAGACCAAAAGACTGGTGCCACATGCATAAAAAATAATAAAGGCATCATAATAACTTTGCAGAATGAAATGAAGGATCACTGGAAGGATTACTTCGATCAGTTATTGAATGAAACAAACTATTGGGGTGGACTTTGATGCACTTCCGGTCCACTCCCGATGCACTCCAGGTCCGATTCAGGGCGTCTCAGCTGAGGAGATTACAGATGCGTTGAAGGCAATGAAGGTCGGTAAAGCGGCTGGTCCGTCTGAACTTACAAATGATATCATCAAGGCATCTGGTGGGGCAGACTTCAGAACCTTTGTACACGTCTGTCGGGAGAGGTGGAGTAAATCGATACTACCAGTGGAATGGAACACTAGCACAACTGTGCTGATATATAAAGAAAAAGGATATCCATTTAAATGCTCCTCACATCGAAGTATACGTCTTCTGGGACATCCCCTGAAAGTTATTGAAAAAGTCATTGAGAGAAGACTATTGTCTTGCCTTTCAATAGGTGCTTACCAGTACGGCTTCATGAGGCAGGGAGATCAACCATTGATGCTATCTATACCATTCGTCAACTACAGGAAAAATACATGGCAAAGCAAAAGCGACTGTTCCATGTCTTTGTTGACCTGTAAAAGGCTTTTGACAATCAGTTGGAGGCTACGTAGAGCTTGTTCCCGAATATCTGGTTCGGCTGGTTATGGCAACGTAATCTAACACAAAAACTCTGGTCAGTACAACAACCGGTATCACGAATGAATTAGATATTAACGTCGGCGTCCATCTGGGATCAATACTCAGCCCCCTGCTCTTCATTACGGTGATGGAAGAAATAACGAAACCGATACGCTCAGATAACATAAGGATCGTGATATATGCAGATGATATCTTGATATATGACGGCCTCGGAACAAGACGGAGCCAGAAAGTTTGAGGTCTGGAATACCCAGCTTGCCGAACACGAGCTAAAGGTAAACCTTGACAAAACAAAAACAATCACCGGTGGTACCGCTGAGCCTGGTCATTGGCCATGTTCGGTTTGTGAGACTGGAATAGGAAGCAACTCGATCAAATGCCTTCGACGTCAGCATTGGTTTTATAGACGATGTTCGAGAATTACCAGCTAACTGATAGGATTACCGGGATCGAAACTGTTATTTAATTTCAGTATTTGGGAGATATGCTGGATTGTACTGGAACATCTGATGCCGCCGTTCGGGGACGCATACGTGCGGTTATACATGCAGTGCGTGGCACCTTCCTGCTTCGGTACTGATGCGGCGTTGCATTCCTCTACCGCTGTGCATTCCTCTAATCAACACAGCTATACGTTCTGTTCTAATGTATGGTGCAGAGACGCGGCTGATGACAACAAAACTCGAACAGCAGCTTTACCGAACTGACATGAAAATGATTCGTAGAATTCAGCATGTTGACCTAAGGAACCATATCTATACAACTGAGATCCTGAACAGATCGGAACTGATCACGTTGAAGGATGCTTGTCGTCGTCATCGTTTACGATGGTTTGGCGATGTGTACCGAAGCGAAAACGATACAATAATTTTAGTTACTGAGCACCTGGTGCCTGGCACCCGCTCAAGAGGTCGCCTAAAAAAGTCCTGGACGCAGACCATACAGTAGGACTTAAAGGCACTTTGTTCTCAAGGAGACAGACGCAATGGATAGATCTGCTTGGAAACAAAAACTGATGAATGGAATCAAAAGTCCGACCTATAACGGATGGAGACTATAAACGAGGATTGATTGATTGATATTACCGTTTATTTTCAGTATTAGAGATTATTGCATTTTGCTATACCTATTTATTTTCCAAATAGCATGGTCTATAACAAAATTTACAGAAAAAAAAGTTTTTCAAAATTAATGAAATTTACCGTAGTTGAAGTCGAACACTCAAAAATTACGACTCCGGCAAAAATATCCCACTCCTACATTCCGATTTTTATAAACTCTTAAACTGTAAAAATCTTACAGTCATTAAACCAAAAATCATTTTCGAACATTAGATGTCGTTTTACTTCCAGGGAATATTTTTTCATTTAAAATTGCTCTTTGCTTTAATTTATTGCATATTGATTCGATTGTAAAAAAAAAACTTTGTAAGAATTTATGATGGAAATATTATGATGTTTTATATACAGAAGTACCTTTTTTTTACTTACAATATAATAAATATTTTTAGTTTAGGTGACACAGTTTAACAAATGTATTCACGATAAAAAACATCAAATTTGAATATTACACATAATCAACCAGATATCGCTATTCAAAGACATGCTTGTTTTAACCCTCAGTTTGGACAAAGCCTTTTCTATGGCTACAACTTGTTATTATTAAAATCCGCTAATCTCTGTAGCTCCATAGTTTTCTTTGTCCACTAATCGTTTTCTTGCCGAACTTTGAACTTTGTTCGTAATTCTATCCATGTAAGATTAAGAGTCTGGATTGCAAGTTTATTTTTAAGGGCTTCTTTCTTTGTTTGCAAACGATTAAGAATGCCAGGTCGATTCTCATCAAACCAGTCTTGATGTTTTTTGCGGAAAGCCCAAGAACCTTCGTAGCTGTTGACAGTAGTTGATTAATGACCATTCATCGGTCACCGAAAGTACACCAGAAGGTTGCTGAGACACACTGGATAGCTCAGTTTGCTGTATGTTTGGAGAATTTTTCCTCATGTTTTTTCTGCACTTTAAGATTTTGGCAAGTCCTAATGTTCAGCCTTTTATCTGGACCCAATCAACGAGTTGGTGGGGTAAGTTTAATTGCAAATTTGGATACGACAATGATACGACACTGCTTATCTAATAACTCGTGTATGATTGACATCGCGTCCAAAAGATGCCGGTGCTTGGACTGTGGGTGCATCCAGGTAGTTTTTCTTTGATTACGCTGCTGGAAAATGGTGATGGTAATGAATTATTGAGGAGTCTAGTTCCGTTACTGTTTGCGCTTCCCAGACCATGTCTGCCAATGATGCCAGTCCAGACGGGTTTCAGACAGTGCAGTAATGTCGTTTTGATATCTGTCCAGCTCGAGGGCAATATTGAGCGATACGCCGCAAGAGTCGTTCCGTATTTGTTGAGCGTTCAGATGTTCCAGGTCGCAAATCGAATAGGTCAACGAGTCAATTTTTGCTTTTGACCGCTAAGGAAGGCCAATGAGCGCGGTTACTAATTTGGGAAAATGTTGGGAACGAGCAATTTTTAGGCCACTTTTTCTAGGCCCCTTCTCGTTGGAGGTGAGCAGTCCTAGATAGGGTTTCTCAATTACCCCGGAAGCTGCCAATGAGATTTGTCATTCCCTTTTCCAAATCTCAGCGATCATTTCTCCAGAACCGCCTGCACACAGACATTAACCATCGCCGCAGGTTTATAAAAATCTCCTGTCATTGGTATTAAACGCCCCGCAAAATAGACGCAGGATAATTTACGATGTTGCGAAAGTCTTCGGTCCACAAAAATTTGTTGCAACCATTTGAACCCAGTAACATGGACGACGACTAGGGAAGACTGCAACTGAAAAGGTCTACCGGCTGATTCTATATTATCAATGCTGCTTGACGCGTGGTCTCAATGCGGGTTCGCGATCACTTTTCCTAATGTGGTATCCTTAGCTTCGTAAATTTCATCAACCCTCGTTTTGTTATCGGAGTGTACCTTTTTCGGGTTTTGAAATCAGAGTTAACCTATTTCTAAGCAGTTTCATAACGGGTGTTGTCAACCCAGGTCATCTGGTTTAAGCGCCAGGAACCCGCTTTCGCCCCTTCTGAATTACCCATGAGGAGTAACGAGGACGCCAGCAGCTGGACTTTAAGAGCAGAGCCTGTGTCAGGAAGGCCTTTGCCAGGATTTATGACCAAAGCAATGCAGCCCCTTGGACCCATACTCCATTTCCCCCATGGATAGCTTAGATGCAAGTTGTAATAAATGTTGTCGACATTTTTTCTTGATCGATGAAGTCGTCGTTGTATAAAGTTGTATGAAGTCGTCATCCAAGTATAAAAGGACCAAGCTTTTCTTCCAATCGCGTGTTTTTAAAAACTTGAACTATCATTCATCACCGATTGATGTCTGGAATGGATTTTCAAAAGCAATCTTTTTCAAAATCACTCTTGCCGACACTTCTTATCCAAATTATCAAAAGTTCAATTGTTGGTGGGCGTTGCATTGAAATTGTTTTTATTATTATATGCAGCGTTTATATGTTGCTAATATTGTTACTGCAGTCTTTTTTTTTGTTCTGGTTGTTAGAAATAGTGGAAGCCAGATCAGTGTGGTAGTTCTACTGCTTATCAAAATTTTCGATGTCTAAGCTAACCCAGAACTATTATCATTGTCGTCGCCATCATCTTCATCATACGTAAACTATACCTTTTTTCACGTTATCGCGTTAACGCGAGAAAGGTATAACGTGAACGTTAACAGCTACCGCCTGCTTGAAGTGCATCGCAGTTGTCACGTGCATCACAGTTATGACATGCAACACAGTCGAAAGGATTGCTAATGTAATTGCAGCTAGATGAATAAGCTGGTTAAAGGATCTAATTGTAAATGAAATTGCTGTTATTATTGATGATGACGTCATTATTATATGTTATTATATTCTTTGTCATCTATAGCAGAATATAATTTATGAAATACAGGCCTCTTGGCAATTTAGAAATTTTTTTGAAATTGGAAGATTTTGGGTCATTGCGAACAGAACAACTTTTTTTATCTTCAACTCCTTTGATATTAGACGGAAAACTATTTAATAATTCCGATGTTAGTCTTTTATTTTACAAACTTCATGAAGTAATTATTTTTCATTTAATAAATAAAAATTTATTTAATTTTAGTCCAACGTTGCATTTTGGTCGTAATTTTAATTTTTAATTTAAATTTAATTTAAAATGCTTTTTAGCAGCATTTTAATTTTTTAGTCGTAGTCCAACGTAGTTCATGAAGAATGTTGAAGAATTGTTCCAAACACGAATCTTTTGAATTTTTTTCTTATACAAAATTTTCCGCGAGACATTAAGACCTTTAACAAGACATTATTTCTTTGACGTTCGTCAATTTTCTCTCTGTTTTTCACTCATAAAGAAATAATAATATCATAGAGAAAAAAAGAATATAACATTTTTTGGATAGAACGTTAAGATTAAGTGCAATATAGTTACGTTAACAATCTAAAGTTGCTTTTAAACACATTTTCTTTCTCTCACAAGTTAATTTTCTATTATAATGTCATATTTTTTGCAATTGATAAACATTTAGGCTCATATTCTGACAAATGTTATATCAACTTTTTATCTGCATGATATTTTTTTTGTTGACAAACCAAAAAAATAATGTGAATTTTGTATGAGAAAAACATTCAAATTGTTGAATTCATTCTTTTCTGTAGATAATACCGCTGGTCGTTTTTATTGTGAATTTTTTTCAATTTTGTAATATACATATTGTGATTGTAATTTATATAGCGCTAATTATAATAGTTTTTCATCATCCAAGAGGAAACATGCTCCAAGCTTTTTAGCAGCGTTACAAGCGATGTTGATCGTTAATATTTATAAAACACTAAAATTAATATTTATAAATCTGTTAAGTTGTGTTTTAAGACGTTTTCTAAACTCTGAAATATTGTTGAACTCATTCATTTCTAAAACTGAGAACGCTGGCCATCATTGTATTGTCACTTTGTTTGAAATAATTGAATGTTACTAAAAATTGAAAAACAATATCATTTAATGTATCCTTTCTAAACATTTAATAAAGAACTTCTACAGGCACATTCTGAGATAAAGTAAAATATTATTTTTTCTATATTCAAAAATTAAATATTTTAACATTTTTAATGGCTTACATATCTTTTTATTGGGTTCATTAATACTATTTTCAACAATTTTGTCAACTTTTGCTTTCGATTTTTGGCTTTTTTATTGACAATTTTCTCAACCTTTTTAGCGCGGTAGTTTACACATTTAGGAAATATTTATGGTGTTGAATATTTTTTAACCTTGGTCTAGAAAGAGTTCTAAAATTAACTCAGAGAATTAGCTCAGTGGTCGGCAAGTTAGCTCGGTCGATAGATGTGCCATGTCTTGTGCAGTTACGAGATGGCCTGGTTCGAATACTGCCTGTCCGAAGCTCAGAGACTATCTTACGCCATGCATGTATGATGCATTTCTTGTGTACTTGTGTGTACATCGTGTGGATAGTAGTTTTTTGTGGCATGAAATTTAAAAACATGGATGATATGTAAGCGGATATGTCAGAACTGCACAAAAAAGAACAAAAAAAGATTTGTTTTCTTAAATGCGATGCCGTGTATTGCCGTAATCGATCATTCGATCGTTAATTTCGTTAGAATGCCACACAACTAATTGACAGGTAAATCACAGAATATTCGTCAGTCAATTCGTCAGTAGTTAAGTTTCTTTTAACCGACTAATTACATTGAGTTCTCTAGTCCTGGTATTCTACTGCAGTGAGCTTCCAGCTATCGGTCAGAATCTTACCTCTGTCACTAGTGTGTAATCTTCTGAAGATCCCTCTTCTAACACCAGTTTCGTAACCTCTTCGACCTCGTTACTACCAACAGCTTATAGCTTCAGTACTTGTCATATCTCCAACACCGTGTTGTAGCTTCCAACGATAGTCAACAGTTTGTTTATCCGTAGGTACAAGATTACCGATAGATGAACACAACAACTTTAAACGCAAACTTTGTCAAAAGTTTATTTAATACCAGCAGTAATAGAAACAATACTTAATCCGAATAACTGCATAAAATCACATTAATCACATTTACGTCAATTGTGCTCCATCTTCTTATTATCTGTATTCCTCGTGTTATCTCCTTCGTGATATTCTCCTTCCTGTTCTCTCGTCGTGTTCTCGTCGTTTTTATTTTCCTCGTTCTTCTTTTTCGCTTCGTATTCCTATTTATACAGCTTTCTTTTGCAATGCAATACGGCGAACCATAGATAATTATTGTCATAATTATGGAGCGCTGTGTTTATAACAATATTTTCAATTTTAATTGTCAACTTTAAGCTTTTTATTTACGTAAGATCTTTGATTTGGTCTATTATGTAGGCAGAAACTAAGTTCATTTCTATGTGAACCCAGCGGCATGCCATCTAATCAACCAATAGAATTCAGCCAATAAAATTATGATCCGTTTTAACTGGATATGATGGACATCATGCAATACTGCTTTGGGAATTACTTTTAGTGGGTTTATTGTAGCTTTTCATGTAACATAATTTTGTTATAATATAATGTTGCTAACTTATTAAAGATGAAATCTAAGTTTTGCGAATTTCGAATATAAGAAACGGATAACAGTTTCATTCATTTCGTTCAGTGCTTTAATCCACTTATTAAGCCGATTAAAGATTAACTTATAATAACATGCATGCCCAAGACTTTTCATACAATTTGCTCATCTCATTGTTGCCATCTATCCGCCATGACTTCTCCCGAACAATACACGTTTTCAAAAGTTATATCCATATATATATGACGCCAACGTGATATATTTTTATTAAATATGCATACAGATAAATTATAATAATTAAAACCTCACTTGTTTATGGTATTTTTACAGCTAAACAAAAAAGAAAAATGCTTTTCAAACAAAGATGAATTTTATAATATGAGAACTCAAACAGATTTTCGACAGTCTATCGAATACAAAATGGCTCTTGAACTAGAAATCTGGAAAGAACAACAAAAAAAGCGTTATGAAGAACAAGTTGTAAATTTGTTAAGATATTTATAATGTTTTACAATTTGTTGAACTCACTAATTTTAATTTTACAAAAATTTATCCTTTCAACAATTTTTTTATTTAACAAAAAAAAAATAAAATGCTGTAATCTAAGTTGTTCCCCGTGAAGCAATCAGGCAAGCAACTCATTCCAGAATATCTTGTTCGACTTGTGATGGAAATGTATACGAATACTAAGACTCTCGTCAGCACAACGGTTGGAAACACAGATGCATTTGACATCAGCGTTGGAGTTCAGAAAGGCCACTGTTTTTAATAACTGATGGAAGAAATTACAAAACCGATACGCACTGGTGACATTTGGAATCTAATATATGCTGATGATATCGTTTTAACAGCCACATCTGCGCAGAATGCAGCACAAATGTTTGAAGATTGAAAAAATAGACTCGCCGATCATGGATCATAGATTCAAAGTCAACATCAGCAATACCAAAGCAATGAACACTGGTGAACCCATCCACTACTGCTACTGGACGATCGTCTTGTTCAGTTTGTAAAGCTGGTGTTGGTAACAATTCAATCAAGTGTCAGCAATGTAACCAGTGGTGTCACAAACGTTGTTCAAAAATAATTGGTACTGTATCTAATGTGTCCAATTTGGCTTGTTCTGCTTGCATCAATTCATAACAACGAATTCGAAATAGCAATGTTTTTGAGGCCATTAAGGTAGAGAAAGTCACATCGTTTCAATATCTAGGTTCTATATTGTACTGGAACCGCCTGGAGTAAATGGCATCTCCTTGCCTCTATATTTATGCAGCGTGACATTCCACTACCACTACGATCGAGACTTTATAAATCTGTGATACGTCCGGTGTTATATGGTGCAGAAACATGACCAATGACAACCAAACTGGAACAACAACTTCAACGAACCGACATGAAAATGCCGGATTCGATGGAGGCAACGAATTAGTCTGGAAGACCACATCAAATCTACCGAAATCCTGCGTCGTGCTGGTTTAGATGATATAAAGGACGAATGCCGGCATCACCATCTGCGGTGGTTTGGTCATGTCAAACAAAGTGGAAACAGTGCCATAACTTCTCTTGCAGATGTTGAAGTACCTGGTACACGTTCCAAAGGCCGTCCAAAGAAGTCCTGATCGCAAACAATCGAGCGAGACATGAAAGCTCTAAGTTTAAATGAAATGGATTCAACTGGCGCAAAAAGTTGATGGCAATGAAAAAAACGTCCTACCTCGGGAAACTGGGTCTCTGGACGCTAAACGAAGATTGATTGCTTCTAACTTACGGTACGTCGTGTTGTCCATCGACCAACTCGAAGAAACAATATTTTAGATTTGGTCTTATCTAGCCAAACAAGAAGTTTCTTGTCCGTTCGATTCTTTTCAGGACATTGACGATCATCGACTTTAGCACTTTCTAGTAGTTATCGTTAGTTTTTCTTGGCAAAGGTTGCCATTACTTGCCGTCAACCGCATACGCTGAGTATATGATAGAACCGCATCATATACGCTGAGTATATGATAGCCATTGAGATCTTTTGACTCAGCGGGCATTTGAACCACTGAGCCATCTTGCCACCGTTCGTTTTTTGTGAACACAATTATTGCCTTTTATATCAAATCAACTGCGCTACTTTGTAACTCATCAACGAGAAAAATCTGCTTTCTAAAAGTAGTGTTAGAAGTTTTTACCAATATGTCAACAAGAAATTGTTTTCGCGACCCTAGGTCAGCTGTTTATGATTGAATGATAGCAAAGTAACCCATGATGGCCAACGTATTTTATAAATATTTTGTTTACGTATTTACAAACGACAACAACTATTCTCTACCTTGTCTTACCACAATTATTGGAAGATATCGGTTTCACATCTCACATTAATCTGCATAACGTAAAATACTCGTCTTCAGCAGAACTAGATGGCATACCCAACGTTATACTTAAAATAACATCAAGTTAGGCGGTTTCACTATGTCACAAGTTTTATTTATTTAAAAATAACTTTCTGCCTACTAAGCAAACTATCCAAATAATTACTGATCAATTGCGCTCTTTATTTCATGTTGTGTGATGGTAAAAATTATCAACCAAAAAACGGATCTAAGGGTCTCTTCATATTTGTCTACTCGAGAGCATCAAAGTTGATTGCTAGGTTACAACACTAATGACAACACATATATTTTTTTCTGTAATATGATCATTATCATATTTTTATCTGTAACATTTGGAACATCTTGCCAACAAGTCTCATCAACTTCACTTCCCTAACGTCTATTGATTTAAAGAAATTTTTGATAAATAAATAACCTTTTTTTGAGTTCTAAAAATAACATTGTAATTAAATGTAATTAATTAGTTAATTACTAATTTATTATTTTTATAAGTAGTTTCGAAATTTATGTGCGTCTTTGTTATTGACACGTTGTATGAAGTTATCAGTGCGATTTACCGATTTTTTATTTTATTAAAATAAATAAAAACAAATATTGTTTTTTCTTCAGATGGAAGAAAGAGTAAAATCTATTCAAACAATTTGGGAAAATGAATACAAAATGAGAGAAAGAGAGAGGATGGTGTTGCTATACAAACAAGTTAGTAAAAATGTTAAAAACAGTTCTGAAATTAGTTTTATATTAGTTTTCCCTCTTTCATTAAGTTGTCTATTTCAATGCTTTTTCAATTTAAAAGAAATATCAACTTTTTTTTATCTTATTTACTGTTTATGTTGTTTTTATTTATCAAATCAGCCAATAACAATATTAGATAAAAAAAACTTTATTGGAATAAAAAACAACCATATTTTGTTATCTGTTTATTCAAATTTAAAAGTTATAAAAACATATTTGAATAAGTTACAAAAACATGAGATGAATAAATCACAAAGCATGGATCTCTAGCATTCTTACTGCAAAGCGAAGCAGGAGCAAGAGTTAAAACAATTATACTAACATTACTTAATTACATTACATAATTATTTAATAATTATTTGGATCTGATGAATTATTGGGATTTAATGATATATGCACGATAATCTTTATCTCAATTAACAATCAATACGGCTTTACCAGGCTAAAATCAACTGTTTCGCAGCTTTTAAAATTAGTTAGTACTAAGTGAAACGATGGATGAAAATTAACGTAATACACAAACTTTCGACACAATAGATTGATAAAAATTTTGGAAATTTGCAGCAATTTGATTGAGAAACTTGAAAAACAATAAAAACTACTGTCTAAAATATTTTTTGCTACTACTTCAAGGTAGCCTACTCGTTATTATTAATACTAAACGGACAGGACCAAGATATAATAAACAGACAAAACAAAAGTATAATAAACGGACAGGATAAAGCAGAATAAAAGCACTTTGCACACAGAAAATTGTAAAACTGAAATATCCCCATATATATTAAATTAAACTTTATCACTAAAAAAAGCAGGCCAGTAAAGATAACAAACGGTAGTCACCTAGTGTATTCATTTAAATAGTGAGTGTGGGTACCAAAACTCTGAATACATCGGGTTAACAACAGCCAAATTATTAAGATTTACCAGCACGTTTCTGTCAACTAACAAACTTGGAATTTGAACAAAGACACTCAAAACTTGTATAAACTTGTATAAAACGAATTCCGTATTTGTGACAAACGACAAGATTGTACACATTGTTATAACCGCAGCAATGGTCCAATTGCGCTATAGAGGAGACTGGGGCACATTGAACCAATTATCATAATTTAACTTGTCGGACATATATTAATGCATTAAAACTTTTTGATGTAAGTCATTATTATGTACGCATAGCAAAAATTCTAACGACTTCTAACAAGTATCTATGACATTAAAAAGATTTATTAGTAAGCCTGTCGTGTAGGGTACGTTGAACCAATATTGTTTAACACATTTTGACACCAATATTGTTTAACACATTTTGATAATTAGTTTTATTGTTTTCAGTAAAATATTTTCAAATCTAAATATGTTATTTAAATAAAATTGATTTTTTTAATAGTGACAAGGACACAAAACTACAATTAACCAAGACATGAGTAACACAAAATAGAGTTCAGCGTTCAACAGCGTTCATGGAACTATTTTTTAGAGGACGGACATTCCTACCAATTTTCAAATGGAGGTACAAGAGATATGACAAGATGTGTTGTCGTCACTCGTAATTATAGGAATGTTATTACTACTTTCTTTTGCTTTAGCCGTCTTTCATGAAATCTGCTGATTACCGTCAAATAAAATCTGCTTTCTCTTTTTAGTGATGGTCTTTGATTCACGAGCTGGTTGACGAGCTTCCAGCTCTGCTTTCACTGGTGTATCTGTCAAAATCTGAGTCTTGCCTTTTTTTCGATTTCCTGTACTTGTCTTTCGCGGTCCAGCTTTTTTGAATGGCCTGTTCATTTCCAGCGGGATGTTAGATTTCTGTTAGTCTCTACATTTAATAATAAAAATTGTGAATTTTATATTGAAAAACAATATGAAAATATTAATAAAAAATGTATTGAAAAACAATATGAAATATATTAATAAAAAAATATTAATAAAAAATGTAAATAATTTGTAATGGAAGGTATTGAATGGACATCAGTCCATTACAAATTTCACATTGACAGTTGAAGCTGCAGTTGCTTCAGAAGTAATTATACAATTCAGTTTCGGCTGACTGACGGTCAAGACAGTATCACGTTCTAGGTTAGTGCTGAAATTAGTTGTCGGTTTGAGATTGGCAGTTGAAACAATAATGGATGCCACGGAACTGGTTTGTATCGTTGTTGGTGTTTCGTTGGCGGTTTCAGGTTCACCATTATGGCGCTCAGTAATTTTTTGAACACATTTCCAGATGGTCGGTTGTATATAATGGTGCTTATTCATCGTCCTGGAAAATATTGCGTTGAAAGGGATACACACCAGCTACCCTGAATCCTGAGCTGTTAATTGGTGTTGCAGCTTGAGGAAAAGCCTTATTTACTATTTCCGGAATATCATATATTGTCATTGATCGGCCGGGTCATTGATGTTTTATTGTTTTTCCTGTGCTAATCTTACAAATTTTTTTAATGGTCCAAATACAGATCGATCAAGTGGTTGGAGTTTGTGCGAGCAATGTGGAGGAAGACGCCGTTTTTCTTTCAGTAATCCAACACTGATATTGATACATGTGACTCATGATTATCAAGTAGCAAAAGGATGGGACTCTCAACAGAACAACGTTCATGCTTGACTAGATGTTTTATAACTTACAGAAAGTTAATTTCTGTCATCCAACCAGAAGGATGTGCTAATCCAAGAGATCCCGGTGGTCCACCTCTAATAAAATTATCTTTGTAGTGAACTCTTGGGAACACAAATGCAGCTGGAACTGTTCCCCAGTGCATTAACTGCAACAGCCAAGTAACCATTTGACCTCGTTCTTGCAAGACTATGGCTCCAACTTGCTTTACACCTTTTTGAGCAACAATTCTGCTAAAACGTTGCACAGTAGTAATTCAGGTTTCATCAATGTTGTAGATGGCCTCTGGTCCAAACACGTAGCGTTCAAAAACTTTCGACAGGTTATCAAAAAATGCGGACACGTTCGATCTGTTGAACCTTATTACCCGAGCAATAGATGTCGGTTGAGAGGTGTGGGTGTCTTTTCATGAATGCACTAATCCAATCAGCCCCAGTTTATCCAATCGTTTATCTTCCAATTTTTTGGAACGACCTTGCCATTTGTGGTTGCAAATTGATATGCCAATATGCGGACTTCTCTTGGATTCAAACTATAGCACAACGCGGCAGCTTTCTTAATATATTTCTCTAATAAGCTTTTTTCGTCATCAGTAAACACCTTTCTTGACTAACTATAACCAACTCTAAATGTTGATAATGCAGAATTCGGTGCATTATTGTATTTTTTGTAATATCTAATCAATGTCGTGTGGTCAATGTTATGTTTGCGGCTAATAGCACGGAGACTCATTTTACCATCTAATACTTCTTTCACAGCAACTAGCATTATATCTGAAGAAGTGCTGCCTCTGTTTGTAGTTCGCTGTCGAGATCTGACCATATTAAGTTAGTAATAGATCCTGTTTAAAAAACAATGTTTCAGTTGTTGACGTTATCGTTAATGCCCTTCAAACTTTTAAAAATACAATTGCAATAAGAATAAAACCAAAAAAAAAGAGAATAATTTTGAAGTAGAATAAGTACAATCATCACATATCGTGTTACAGGGTCAGGTTGAACCATGGTTCAACGTACACCCGACAACATGGTAGAATCATAGTGGTTTTAGTATTTCAACTGTAGCCTCATTAACATGCTACAAAGGCGTGTAAAAAACCACGTACTGTTTTACCAGATAAAAACACTACAAAATATATATGGTAAAATTATTTACATTTATTGCAATTGTATTTTAAATAACGATAGCCTCAATTTCTCAAAATTTGCAGACATAAACACGCGAAATTAACTCAGCTAGTTCGATTTACATTAATAATTAGAAATATGGAACGCCTACCGATAGTTTTCTATAAATAAGCAAATTTACCTTCTTGGTTTAACATGCCCCGCGGTTCAACATGCCCCGGTTTCCCCTTTTGTTTGTCATCTTAATTATTTGTAATCTTTGCTATATATGTAATCTTTTGATTGTAAAATCTACTGTAGAGGCCATGTAAGATGCTGCAAATAGAGAAGCACTATAAGAACTGGTAAGCTGCCTAATGGACGCTCTAATAAAAAAAATTGATCCGGCTGATTTTAACTTTCCGGATCCAGTAGAACAACAGCTTGCCGAAATGAATTGAAGATTTGATCAGTAATCAAGATTTCAAAACGGAATTAAAAGCAGCAATTAAAAGACTTCGTAACAAACTTAAACAACAAAATAAACAAAAAAAGGAGCAAGAAACTAAGACTTCAAAGCAGTTTTAAGAGGACAAATCAAGCAACTGAATAGTAAAAACAAACGCGTTCAGGTGACAAACGAAAACAACACAGAAATAAATTTGGACAGCAAACCGGAGGAGTGAAAATTATGCTAGACCGAACCAGCAACACTAACCCTAACCGATCTTACCTGACATTATTCTTCCAGCTCATTCATCTACAGATGCAGCAGTCAAATATTAAAATATCGCTTTCGACACAAACAATTGTTATTCGATGTTCTGCCGTCTTTATATTCCGACGTTTCTCAAACGTACTAAATATTTCGCTGTCCCCTTCTCCATCTGTATGCGCCTCTAACGAATATTTATGTCGGTAATAATTAAATGTTACTTAATATTGTTATAACTGACCGGTCGACGTTCAGTAAAAAATAATGCGAAAAATAAAGACAAATTATCGATTTTTTTATTTTCAAAACAATAATTAATTATTCAACGTTAATTAATTTTTGTAATAAAAGTTAATGTTCTAAAAAAGTAGCGACACGAAAATTCTGTTAAACTAACTTTTTATTTCTTTGAAAATTGATATCATTGTATGTATCATTTTATTTATTATTTCTAACATTAATTTACTTAGTTCTAAGATTAATGATTATTACTCGTTAAAATTGTTAAGAAACTTAATAGAAATAAAAAAGCACATGAAAATTTAAAATTAGTGTTAGATGCTGATTTTTTGTTTTTTAAAATATCACTAGCTCCAAAAATTGAAAACTTGTTCTAAACACAAAAAATTTCATCCACTTTTCATTTGTTTAAGCAACAATTATCAAATCTTATTACAGAAGGAAGAATATGATAAACTGAAAGAAAATCTTCGCACAGCTTTAAATGAATTAGAGAAAAGGGAAAAAATGCTGTCAACTAATGAAAAACTGGTATGTAAATTCGTATGTAGCTGTCTAATTTCGTCTATGATTCTAATGAATTAAAATAATGCATTTAAATAATTTTATATTGTATTAGATATTTTTAATTTTTTAAACCACCAATCAATTCATTAATCATTTCCTGATGCATTATTAGTGAATCATAATCATTTTATTCATAAACAGTCGATGTGTGTGTGCGTGTGTGTGTGTGTGTGCGTGTGTGTGTGTGTGTAGAAAAAAATTTAATGATCTAGAATATAATAATAATATAATAAAAGATCTAAAAAGCCACTGTCGTTTCAGTACATACAATAAGTTACTTAAAATTTAGGAGATTTTGTTCAAAAAAAAACCGTAAAAATTGGAAACTTTTATGAAATGTAATTCGATTTTATTAAAATATTTAAATGTACTAGTTTGTTTGTATAGAACACCTTTGTTGGAGGTATCTATTGTTTATATAAAGTTTTCCTTTTTCACGCTCTATGTCGAAGCGGTTTGACCTTCTATGCAAAGTGAACACAAGTTTCACGGTGAACCTAAGAATGAAATACTAAACATGAGCGCAGTCAGTTTTTAATTTAAGATATATATAAAATGTTGTAACCATTGACTCCCGTAACTACTAATACCAACGTTAAAGCTTCTAACGTGTTCATTATTTCGTTGGTTTAAGATTTCCGATACGAAAACAACAGCTTCAAACGCAAATTTTGTTGAACGCTTATTTGAATACCTGCAGTAACAGGGACATCAAACTAATCCAAACGGAGTTGATGAACTGAAATGACCATCAGTTGAAATTAATGCCATGATTAAAACTGAAGCTAAACAGTCCGACTTGTCGAAATACAGTTTAAAAAAACCTTTATATACTGAGCATGTCAATCAGAAAATCATTCTAAAATATTGTTATTATTATGATATAAAGGATCAAATTGCGCTATCTTATTGGTATCTTTGCTATGTTTGTAATCCTTGGATAGAGAATCGTAAAAAAAAGATTTTGTAGTCTTTTAATCGTTAAAATCAGCCTATATGTAGGCCCTGTGCTGTCGGGTTTGCTCCAGCAGTATATATACTTCCACTATTCCATCAGGCGTAACCAAAAACTCTTTCTGATGAGGCATGTCAGGCAAAGAGAGAGTGTAGACGCCTAGAAAGAAAATTGCTGCTGGATCCTCGTCACGCTGTAAAACATGCTTACAGGGTTGCAAAAAATGCAGCTAAAATCGCCATCCTCAAATCTAGAGCGAACTGAATTCGGTAAATCAAATTCAAACCCTCGTTTCCTGTGGCGCTTGTCAATCGCTATAGTGATGCAGATTGCAAGAGGAGGCTGGTTAATTCCTTCAGCACATTTTTTCAGTAAAAAATAAAAAAAATACATTTCTCAATATCCACCGCTATCTCTAAATCCACCTCTGTCACTTTCCCTGCTCGTCCATATAAAGGCGACATCTTTCTTCAATTAGCTTATACTGATTGTGATGAGATGACTAAACTCATTGAAGAAACCATCCTTGGATCCTGATGACCCGTCAAATTACCGCCCTATATCAAACTTATCAACATTCTCAAAGCTAATTTTAAGGTGCGTGTAATTGGAGAAGCAGTCCTAATTGACATCAATAAACCAAAAATAAATGTACAAAGAAAAATGACAACCTCACTTCCAACCCGGCGCTTAACCAACAACGGAAACAAAGAAATAATAAAAACTAGCATTGTAAATAGTGACAAAGAAGAATATGATGCTATCGATGAAGAAAAGGAGACCAAAGAAGATGACCAGTGAGATGACAATAAAGAAACCTGACACCTAATTTCCATCTAAATTCACTTTGACAAAGTCAATCTCCATCTAAATTCATTTTGACAGTCAATATTTCCCTATATAAACAGCAGTAAGCACTGATGATGATTCATTCGGAATCGAAATATGACCTTATTTGCAGCATGAATTCGGAAAATAAGTTTATTTTGAATTTTAATAAATTAAACGTTCACCAAAAACTTTAGTGAGAAAAATTGAAAAAACGAACTATAACGCCAAACATTCGGTAGAATTTATAAAATATTGTAAAAATTATGGTTTATTACCAACATATATGTATATATATATATATGTATATATCAAAGTCTCCAGTTCCTCAAAAAACGAATCAACAGATACCAGGAGGGCGATAAAGAACGGCGAGAATAATAGCCGACTCAGGACACACGAACGTTGTGAAAATACCAAAATCTAGCGCTGAATGTCGAAATGTCGCCCGGTATACAACAGAAATGCTATCACCACGTCGATCAGGCCTATGATAATGTGCCACAGAAAAACCAGGTGGGGTATCCAGCCTCACTGCATTGGGTGCGTCAGATGAGATCCAAGTCTCCGTGAGTGCCAGTATGTCAATGCCATTGTCGACAATGGTGTCATGAAGGAGAGCCGCTTTATTGACAGCCGAACGAGCATTCAGAAGACCCAGAATTGTTTTTGTAGAATTTTTATGAGATCCATCTACTGCAGACAACAAGTGCTTAAGCCTGATACAACCCTTCCGAGGTCTCCAGATTTTTCAAGAACAAAATTTTTCTAGCGGGTCTAGGGATAGGTCGCAAGATGGCTGCAGGTGCCAGTGAAAGCAGCTGCGCGGTTGTGTATGCAAATGTCATCTACAAATATGAAATGAAGGATATATATGCAATTGTGTTATTGACGTTAAGATACAATTGTTGTTTGATTGATGTTTATGCTGATTGTCGAAAGCTGTGACGAAGCTGCCATCGTCAGCTTGGCAGCTCCGTCACGGCTTTTGACAATCAGCACAAAACGTCAATCAAACAACAATTGTTGACAATCTCCTCGCTGCCATCATCAGCTTCAAGATCGTCGACAATTGTTGTTCGATTGAAAGTTGAAGAAACGATTGAAACAAAATAAATTTGTTCTAGATTGAATAATTTAGTTGTAACGGACCAGATGTGAATATGTACATAAGTTAACAGTGTTGATAGGTGAAAGCCCGCACTATGTACTGTACATGTGTTGATAATGTCGATAGGTGTTATATTTATAAAGAATTTTGTAACTGTTGACAGGCGAAGCTTGGTTAATTACAACTGAAAGCTGATTGGTTTAGGAAGGCGATTGTAGAACAAGTGCGTTACGTTCATTGATAAGAATTTATTAGGTCAATTTGCAGGGAGAAAACCACTATAAATTTCACCGATAGTCC